TACCAACCTCATACTACTGATCGGAATAGTCCTTGTACCTTTTTATTTTTAACCAATTACTTTATTTTTATACTTTATAACTCAATTGCTTATTTGATCTGTTATAGATCTGGTGGTCACTATCATAAACGACTTTATAACTCAAAGCTTACACTCTAACCTTACCCAAACAAATAACCAATTCTACATTATCTTTTTGAACGGTATAAATACTGCTTTGTTTTTGGTTCTCTCAGGAGAATTATTCATTGAAACATCAATAAATCCTTTATATCTTTTTATAAAGTAAAATCCGCTTTTTCCCTTTTTTCTCTTTTCTTTAATTCTGATTTTGGTATAACAATTATATTACCTGTCAGAGTATTTTCAAACTTCTACTTTTGTTTACCTTATTTGTCTTTTATTACTTAGTTACTTATTTGATCTATTAAAGATCTGGTGGTCACTACAAAGCGAACCCTTAACGCCAAATTTATAAATATCAGCTTAACCAAGCACACGAACCTTACAACACATCAACATTATACAGTAGGTACAAAAACCCGAGCATATAATACCTGTATATTTTATTGATGGCATGGTTTACATAAGTATTCCACTATGGCAGCTCATTTGCTACTAATCAGAAGTACTGGTTATGAAGCAGTTGTTGTCAGCGATTGAATTGTTAAAGTCATTCCTGGGCGGCACCAGATAAAGTAAAAATGATACGCAACGGTTATAGATCGGTTATAAATTAAGCTGATTTTGGAATGATATTGGTTTTACTTTGGTATGTACCAACATTCTTTGCCTAGTTTATACTACAATAGAATGTACGATGGGCGTTATTGGAATTTATGTGATATATACAGTAGCCGTCAAAATTGGTCGCATGTTTTCACTTTTTGGAAACTTACGTCTGTGCATACTTCCGTATGCCCCAATATACCATGTATGCTATATCATCTGAAAGCTTATTTTGAAAGCTATCAAATGATGTATGGCATGCCCTGATTGGATGAATGTAGCTGCTACGACATGCGTTCAAAGTCAGACGGTACATGCGACCAATTTTGACAGGTAAAATAATTTCGGAAAAAATGCCACAATTTGTGGCAAAGCAAAAGAAAAAATTCTCGGAAACTTATTTTCTTTGCTTTTCTTTTCAGTTTATATCAGGTAAGTGTCGAAGATTTGGTAATTGCAGCTTGCAATTAAGACATCGTCCCATTGAACTTTAGACATGCGTGCCATCTCAATTGACAAAGTGAACAACATCAAGTCTTTGCTAATGTCGACCAAATCGAACAGCAAAATCGCGAAGCAAGTTAAGGTTAGTCGTACAACTGTCCAGAAGTATCGTGCCGTTCTCCCTGTGGTTCGTAGTATTAACAAGGCTGGCCGCAAATCTCTAATTGGCGAAAGGCTGATCAGGTACATCACGAGATTAGTCACCCAAGGACGGAAAAATACTGCCGTAGACATACAGAGGGATCTGAAAGAGAACTTCAACGTGGTCATAAGTGACAGTACTGTGCGCAGAGCACTAAAAAAGGCTGGTTTCGTATCCTTTGTTAAGCCACGTAAGCCTTTGCTAAGAGCAGCAAACATCAAGAAGCGGCTTCAATGGGCGGAAGAACACAAGAACTGGACCGTGGATGACTGGAAGCGTGTGATTTTCTCCGACGAGACGAAAGTGAACCGCTTTGGCTCTGATGGAAAGGCTTACGCATGGAAAACACCAGATGAACAGCTATGTTGTGCCATCACAACATTATCAATAAATATTCACAGCTACTGCTCTTCGGCTATAGCTTGTTCCACATCTAGCCTATCATATGTGAACTCTCTTATACCTAACTCCTGGAGCGCCGTTACAATACTTCAATTGAACGCCAGTGCTCCTGTAGTACAGATCAATGGTTTCTTATTCGACAATCACTGTCAGATCAGGTTCACTTTAGTCTAGAGGCCCTTCCCATAATTCTTGGATGATTATAAATAGATGTGCAATCAAGCCAACTATCGTTATTGTGCGTAGATGTTAAAAAATATAAATACCATTGTTTTATTCATCATAAATAAAGATATCATATATTTCAGTCTCACTGGCTTATTGTCCTTTTCTATCCTCTTCTCATCTTATTAGTTTTTGTCTCTTACCTTTGTACTTGGCAAAACAATTAGGTTCAACTCTAGATATTGTATTTAAGCACTGAATAGTAGCGTGGATACTACACACTCAAAATAAGAAAACTGTATGGGACACTTTTGACGCGATGAAAATGAAAATCAACTTTTAAACGATAGTATTTTATTTATTAACTTATCCGTGACCCTTTTGCTTTAATGACATTCCTATAGCACTGACGCATAATACTGATATAGCTTTGACATTCTTTCGCTGTGATATTGTACCAAGTTTCATACACACGTTCCCAATGCTTGCTCATACTCTTTGGTGACCGTTCATAGCTTCGGTAGAGCCTTGTTTTCAGTAATGCTCACACGTTCTCAATTAAATTGAAATCTGGTGACTGTGGAGGTCACTGCATTACCTCAAACGGTTGCTGGGATAACCATTTTTCAACCAAATTCGCTCTATCCTTTGGATCGTTATCCTGCTGAAAGATGGTTTTTGTCGGCTCTATCCTGTAATCGCCCAGTGTTTAGTAAAGTTCATCTTTTAAAATGTTCAGATAAGCCTCCTTTGCCATTGTATCCTCTGCCTTGCTTATGTAACCGACGCCTGCCTGTTGAATACGAAGTATCAATTAAAAAAAAATAAAGACTAGAATTAACCAGACTAAAAGATATCTCGATTGACTTTATTAAAGACGAGTGTTGTATTCATACTTAGTGGATCAACTATTAACCACATATGAAACAATAACTGGCGATTATTCGACTTCAGCTTGTTACTTTGAAACAACTGTGCGGATCATTATTTAAGCTGATTACCAGGAACTGCATTTTAAGGTACGCGTATCCAATAACTCTGATCCATCATTGTTATTAGGGATCATTGTCTTATCAAAGGCACCCGATTCGTCCTAACTCTCTCATTGCCTCAATTGTCATTCATAAGCCTCTATGAAAAGTTTTACGATCTCAGTTGAAGAGTGTCTCACATTTAGTATAAATACTCGTCTTTAATAAAGTCAATCGAGATATATCTTTTAGTCTGGTTAATTCTAGTCTTTATTTTTTTTAATTGATACTTCGTATTCAACAACGAGTATTTATACTAAATGTGAGACACTCTTCAACTGAGATCGTAAAACTTTTCATAGAGGCTTATGAATGACAATTGAGGCAATGAGAGAGTTAGGACGAATCGGGTGCCTTTGATAAGACAATGATCCCTAATAACAATGATGGATCAGAGTTATTGGATACGCGTACCTTAAAATACAGTTCCTGGTAATCAGCTTAAATAATGATCCGCACAGTTGTTTCAAAGTAACAAGCTGAAGTCGAATAATTGCCAGTTATTGTTTCATATGTGGTTAATAGTTGATCCACTAAGTATGAATACAACACTCGTCTTTAATAAAGTCAATCGAGATATCTTTTAGTCTGGTTAATTCTAGTCTTTATTTTTTTTTAATTGATACTTCGTATTCAACAGGCAGGCGTCGGTTACATAAGCAAGGCAGAGGATACAATGGCAAAGGAGGCTTATCTGAACATTTTAAAAGATGAACTTTACTAAACACTGGGCGATTACAGGATAGAGCCGACAAAAACCATCTTTCAGCAGGATAACGATCCAAAGGATAGAGCGAATTTGGTTGAAAAATGGTTATCCCAGCAACCGTTTGAGGTAATGCAGTGACCTCCACAGTCACCAGATTTCAATTTAATTGAGAACGTGTGAGCATTACTGAAAACAAGGCTCTACCGAAGCTATGAACGGTCACCAAAGAGTATGAGCAAGCATTGGGAACGTGTGTATGAAACTTGGTACAATATCACAGCGAAAGAATGTCAAAGCTATATCAGTATTATGCGTCAGTGCTATAGGAATGTCATTAAAGCAAAAGGGTCACGGATAAGTTAATAAATAAAATACTATCGTTTAAAAGTTGATTTTCATTTTCATCGCGTCAAAAGTGTCCCATACAGTTTTCTTATTTTGAGTGTGTAGTATCCACGCTACTATTCAGTGCTTAAATACAATATCTAGAGTTGAACCTAATTGTTTTGCCAAGTACAAAGGTAAGAGACAAAAACTAATAAGATGAGAAGAGGATAGAAAAGGACAATAAGCCAGTGAGACTGAAATATATGATATCTTTATTTATGATGAATAAAACAATGGTATTTATATTTTTTAACATCTACGCACAATAACGATAGTTGGCTTGATTGCACATCTATTTATAATCATCCAGGAATTATGGGAAGGGCCTCTAGACTAAAGTGAACCTGATCTGACAGTGATTGTCGAATGAGGAATCATTGATCTGTACTACAGGAGCACTGGCGTTCAATTGAAGTATTGTAACGGCGCTCCAGGAGTTAGGTATAAGAGAGTTCACATATGATAGGCTATATGTGGAACAAGCTATAGCCGAAGAGCAGTAGCTGTGAATATTTATTGATAATGTTGTGATGGCACAACACTAATGCTGCTATAAGATCTGCTACACCTTAATCAAATATAGCCAACTCAGTTTAAATACCTCAGCTTCTTAATATATAATTATAGATTGTGCTATCATCTCTTTTTCTTTTCACTTTATTCTGAATAAAGATACAACACAGTCTCATCGTATTTTCTACTTTGTTTAAACCTATCCAAATCCAAATACAACAGCTGTAATTTGTGATATTTTCTAGCTGTTTCCAAAAAAAAAAGTAAAGCGTCAATCTCTTCTCCCATTCGTTAATTCTGCTTCATTACCATTGCTGCTTTTTGCATTTATTTTTATAAATTATTCTTATTTGATAGAAAAAGAAAGAAAAGAGCTTTAAAAACAAATTTCTTCACTGGCTTAAAGAAAATCATGAATATTTTCTAAGTTCACCATCCGTGCAAAATACACGGTTAATCTCACGGATTTGACACGGTTCTTGATTAACCTCATTACTTCAAATTAGAAATGTGCCAAATGAACTAAAAAAAAAAACTATAGGATCTGTCTCTAAAAAATTATAAAACATTATACTGTCAACTAATCGTCCTTTCATCTTTGCAATTGCCATCCTTTTAACATTGTTTCTTTTCTATGACAATTGTTACTCAAAATATAAATAAATTTGATTGGCTCTTATTTCAAAACCGTGAATTTTTCGCGGTTTATGCACGGTTGGCACGGTTCTGTGCGTCATGGTGAGAGAGTAGAATGTATGCTCTACTGTAAGTTTATACTCGAGTATTTTGATAATTTATCTCACTAAACACGTCAGTAAGGCTTGGTATAAAAAATAATAATTCACAATCCAACATGTTACAAATAAAATTAATAGAGGTACGTAATGCTAAATGTAGAATGACTGTAAACAGTATAGTAATGGAGTAATCTCACACGAAGATTAGTTAGTAAAGGAAGGATAAATACGACATGAGGATTTCATATTTCAGCATGACAATGATCCAAAACATACAGCAAAAGTAACCAAAAAAGTATCTACACGAACAAAAGAAGTATAAAATTCTTCCCTGGTCAGCACAATCTCCAGATCTCGACCCTTTGAACACATCTGGAGACATTTGAAGTTGAAATTAGCACTGTATGAGCAGAGAGCTAGAGGTGTTTATGAATTGTGGGAAAGAGTAAAAATTGAATGGAATAGATTTGACGCTGATATATGCTGTAAATATATAGACAGTATGTCTGCAAGAGTGAAAGCTGTGATAGATGCGAAAGGTGGAAACGCCAAATATTAATAAAAATTTAGGGCTTGAAAAACTGTCCCAGTGGACATTCCATTTTTTACATGCTATGCATTTAGATCTAGTTGCTAATTTAAAGTACTGATTTCACCAAGACATAAAGAAAAGGTTAAACAATAATATATCACGAAAGGACACGTAAGCTATTTTTATCTCTTTATTTACAGTGATACAAGCAATTTTTTGAAAAACACTGGAACGGTATTTTAACCCACTGTATATAAAGGTATATTCCCCATGCGAATTCATTTTCAGTTAACTTGTAGCTAACAATTAGAAAAATAGGAAGAATAGATTAGTAGGTTGATAGTGTGCTGACTAATTTTGAAGATATTGCACCGATGAATTACTGGTTCGATTCAATCGATTGCCCACAAATTGTTGCCAATTTGTATAATCGTACGATGGCAGCTTATTCAGAAACAGCTGGAAATACGTTGTTTTTGTCATTTAGAATTGAAACATCAGACAATGTCAAGCCAATCATGCTATATTTAAGCCAGTTTGGGTTGAAGCATTGGCATCTAATTGCTTTTGGTAAACAATTTAGAAAACTACAATGGCCATCGCTTTCACCAATGTATGAGCCAACACGTAGAGCTCTGGGATTACTCGACCATAGCCTTTTGTATAAATAATGAAAATAATAATTTTTTTCTCTTAATGATATCAACAAATGCAAACTGATTAAAAAAAATATTCATGCACGAAACAATTAGCGTGACGTCATGCTAATTCACTTTTTCGTGAATTTTTTCGTGCATATAGTGTTTCCCTAATAATAGCATTCCCTCCCTCTCCTTTTTTTTCTTTTTCGAGTTTTTTTTTTTTTTTTCGTACAAAAGAATAAAAAATAGGTTTATTTTGAAGCCTTATAAGCTACCAGAAGCCACTTAAATCCGCTTGCTATAACCTAATACAGTGCGTACTGGACCAAATGGTGGATTCAAAAAATCAATTGTTGCAAACAATAACTTCCAATGGCGTCTTTTTTATTTATGTAAATAAAAAGTGAAAAATTATTACATGACAACAATATACACCACATTGTAATGCAGATTATGGGAGTCCCAGCGTATTTGCCAAGTACTTTAAGGCTCTCTTGATTACAGAATTAACTCCAAGGACAGAATAACATGTATAATCATCAAGCGAAGCCAACATGACATCTTTTTAAACATAAAGCAACTACAATTGAAGTTCAATTTCGACCCAAACACAAACTTGGCTCGACCAAGTTTATCTAGTCAGTGTACTTGCAAAGGTAAAGCCTATCACACAGGGATTCTAGAGCTGCAAGAACCTTTTAGTGAATGCTTGCCTATTAACCATCCCTTTATTGAGTCAATTCATCGGCAGACGAATTATACCATTGATGTGACTCTTAAAGATGAGATCGAACTCTCTTATTTTTCTCCTCTTTTTTTTTCCCCAATTTGTTTTGGGCAAAAAAAAGAAGCCATGGCCGATTTATCTACGACTATTGCTGGTGTCAGACTTCCAAACTTGTTATTTAACGCTTCTGGAGTATGCTGTCAAACTGAAGCTGATTTGAAACAAATGCTTGAAAGCGAATCTGGCTCCTTGATTACGAAATCAGCCACTTTTGAATCGCGTGAGGGTAATCCTTCCCCTCGTTATACCCCCTTGCCCAGTGGAATCGGTAGTATCAACTCTATGGGTCTTCCTAATGAAGGTTATGAATACTACTTGAATTATGCAAAGAATTACGATTACAGCAACGAAAAGCCGTTGTTCATCTCTCTTTCAGGTTTATCACTTGCAGATAACATCAAGATGTGTCAAGCTTTTGTTGACGCTGATCTTCCTTGTATTCTTGAAATCAACTTTTCATGTCCTAATGTTCCTGGTAAACCTCAACTGGGTTACGACTTTGAAGCGATGGAGAACGCTTTGAATGTGTTGGCACCCATCATAAAGAAACCCTTTGGTATCAAGCTTCCTCCTTATTTTGACATTGCTCACTTTGACATTGCAGCTGCTATATTCAACAAGTTTGACAATTTAGCCTTTGTCACATGTATCAACTCGGTCGGTAATGGTTTAGCTATTGATCTCGAAACTGAAACTGCACTGATCAAGCCCAAGGATGGTTTTGGTGGTCTTGGTGGACTGATGGTTTTGAACACAGCTTTAGCTAATGTCAATGCTTTTCATCGTAGATTAAAGAACAAACAAGTCATTGGTGTAGGTGGAGTAACGTCTGGTAAGGAAGCTTTTCTTCATGTGTTGGCTGGTGCTAGTGCAGTCCAGATTGGTACCCAACTTAAAGAAGAAGGCCCTGCTATTTTTGCACGTATCAAGAAAGAATTATCTGATATCATGATAGCAAAGGGTTACAAGTCCTTGAACGACTTTTGTGGAAAGGTTAAAACTTTGTAATTTACATATTTTAATAAAAAAAAAAATCCCGTAGTAAAAATGATTCGATGGACGTTGGTTTATTCAATTATTCACAAATTGCGTCGTCTCTTTGTAGTTGCTGCATCATCAAGCTCCATTTCAGTCTCATGGAGTGGTCGTTTGCTATTACTGTCATTTCCTTCTAATGCGCCTTCATCCAAATCTTCCATAGTATCGTCAAAGATAGGTGCAGCTGGAGTTTCTGCATTATTTGCTCTCTTGGTTGAGTCTAACCAAAAGCGGTTAAATTTTACCGTCAACTTGGATCATTTATAGTTACCATAGCGAAGACCCTTTTTCTTCAAGACATCGTCAAGTGATTTGATATAGTTAACATAATGTTCCCATTCCTTCTTACCCTCCTCAACGCTTAATTTATTGTTTCTCAAGGAATCTTCCAAGTGATTACGTCTATCTAAATTAGTATGCTTATTTGTGTAATAGCCAACTTACATTCTAGCAATGTCTCGCGCACGAGCCAAATCTTTAGCAAAAACAGTAAGCACCTTGAAAAACCTGAGCGCGTTATCTTTATCATTGTCTTGATTGTTTTCATATCCTTCTCTTGCCTTTGCAAGTGCAAAACTAATACCATCCAAATGAATGCGTTCACAGACAACATGAGGAGGCACCTTTCTGGCAGTATCAGCCTGATCTGCCTTCCTCAACGATGACGCCTCAAGACGTGCCAATTTGAGAGTTTTATCAATAGATCTCCATGAGTCGTTGATGTTTTTGTTAAATGACTAGAGTACAGTAATTTAGCAAATATCGATAAAGTATACACACTTTGATTACCTGTTTTAAGGCCCCCATATAGCTTCTGCAAATACCATCAGCAGCAATTTCGCCACTCAACACGTCTGTTTCGAATTCAGTCACTAGAGCCTTGATCACATCATCTATTTCAGGATTAGAGCCATACACCTCCAACAAAGAGACGGTGTAGCTGATATCAAGTACTCCCATCAGTATGCCTCTTGAATAACTTGTAACCACTTGTAGAACAATCTCCTTTTGTGCGGCTCTCTCGGCATCTGTCAATTGGTTCGTTTCTTCTGCAAGCTTATCCAAATTATCCAACTGCTCCTTCACGTATTGAGCGCAAGAATGTTGTAGGTTGGCAGAACATCTTGTCTTCAAACGAGCCAAGTTGTAAGAATCAAACAAGTCACTACCAAAGAGCCAATAAATGTCAATCAGATACCCAAAAGCGCTTGCACGAACTTCAGGCAACGGGCTTATGTCTGTTCCCACCACAATTTCTGTAAACTTGTCAAGAATCCAATCACGACGTCTTTCAATAAGGCCGGCTGCCTCTAACGAGTATGCTAATGAGTTGCATTTCCACATAATATAGCGCGAAAGAACAACCATGGCAGATTGAGCAATGTTCTTTTCTTTTTCATAACCGAATGCTGCTCTATCCACAAGTGCACCAATATAGTCCACTACGTTCATACTCATGCCTTGTGCATCATCCATAGCGGTTGTTGGATCCATAAAGCTGATCAGATAGGAGAGACGAAGCATACTGACAGAGATAGAATGGATGAGCGCAGTGTTGTAACGAGTAGTGACTAAATCTTTTCCATTACAGGCTTCTCGTACTTGATTCACAACAGCTTCTCTTAAAGTCGACAGCTGTGGCACGTTTATTTCTGATAAATAATCCGCCTTGGACATGCGTTGCAATGATTCAGCACAGTTTGCTACCAAGTCTTTCAATACAGCATTTTGGTACACTTTAATCAGAGTCTGCATGAGTTCTTCGTATTCTTTTTCAGCACGTAGTTCCACATAAGCATTCAAATCCATAAATGTAGGCACCAATACCAGCTGAGTCATCTTGCTGGCATCATCTGCATGCTTTGTTAATAACTTGGGTAGAGCTTGAGCAAGATATCGGGATATTTCCTTTTTGTTTTCGTCCAAGATGCTCTTATCAATATGTCTCTTGTCTTTTACTTCTGCCAAGTTCTTGTCAAGGCCTTTTTCAACTGCTGTACTAATACAGGCAACAAAGACATTTACCAACACTACCTCTTCATCCTCTGATAGTCTGTAGTAATCATCTAATTCACCCGTGTCCATTTGATCACCAGACTGTTCCGAAACACGAGAATGATCGCGGCTTAAGTAATCAGACATTGCCTGACAGTCTTGTAACTTGCTATACTGGTTCCACAGAGCTTCGACAGCATTGGTAATGATTATGTTTCTTCTCTCAACCAGAGTGTTTGTTAATGAAGAAAGATCAACCTGCATACCATCTGTGCCATTTCCATTATTTGCCTCCTGTTCTAAAATGTGTGCAGATTGCTGAACCAAAAATGAAGCAATAGACTTGAACATAACCCAGTCTTGGTTGACGTTGGTAGATGCGGTGGTTGCATTTATTGCTTTACGTCCACGTCCACGAGTTGAAGAAGCCGCTCCAGTAATTTCATTGGTCAATGGAGTAATAAAGTTCTTTTCTATCATTGCCTTCACAAAGGGAGCAACTGCTTTACGAATACGAGGCACATCCGAGGCAATGGTACTAGCTAGTCGCAGCTGACCATCTTCACTCAAGACATCAATATTTGATCTGAGAAGGGCATGACACAAGTGAACTGCATGAACACGTACGGAGACATCAACATCATAGAGCGCCATTTCTTCAATACGAGATTTGAATCGATTGGTAAAAGCAGACAGCTTTGTAGCAATATCTTCAATCCTGTATAAAGATATCATCGATTTGACAGCTTCAGATCTTACATTGGCACTTTGATCATTAAATGCCCAGCCCAAGAAACGAAGATATGTGTTGTCTACAAAATGAAATTCAAAAACGCACATCCATTGGCAAAGTTCCTTGATACATTCTGTACGAATCACTGATTCAACATCACGGGATCGATGAACAAAGATGCTATTGAAGTAATCGTTGAGATATTCTTGAATCGTTTTGAGATTATTATCAACTGTGGTGAATCTTTGTCCTAATAGTTTTGATTTCTGTACGTTTCTTGAGTTGGATCCCTTTTTCTTTTCAGCATTAAACTGTCTCAACACAACATCGTGTTCCTCTTTCATGTCCTTTCCAAGAGCACATAATGAAGTTATAATCCTGAAAGCAACAAGAGTAGCCGTATGACGAAATGGTCGATATGTTGAGCTAAGTAAAATTAGCAACATAGACTCATTAAATACACAACCAACAAATTACCTTGATATAGTCGTTAACCAATTATGCAAAGTTTCAATCATGACACCATCATAAATCTCTTCATATCGAGTACGTTCAATAAGCTCACCAAAGAATAATAAAAGATTACGTCGAAGTATCTTGTCTTCTTTGGATTTTGATATCACTGGGTAATCATGGCTTGGCAGCTATAAGAAAAGTGAGTATAGTTGATGATTATATAAAGTCTTACCTTGGTAAGTTGATCTTGCAATTCTTTGAGAGCATCCAATGATCCATCTTCTTGGTTAAACGCGACTTCTGAAACGCCAATAGAGCATCCAGAGCACTATAGAATAAAAAGTTTATACAGTTGTACTTTGTAAAATGATACACATCCTACGCGAATAACAAAGTTGACCAATTCTCTTAAAGCAGCAATCTTGTTTGCTTCATAACTTTCTCTCCAATTAGTCACGAGCATTTCATGATTACAGTCTGATTTGATTATTTCATCTAATTGTATATATACATTATTATTCATTCTGCGTTCCCCCATTCCAAATTTTACCATATAAATTATCTTGTCCAGATTGAGAATCTACAATAGGCTCCAATAGCTGACTACTCGTATCAACAGTAATTCTTCCTCTTCTAGTTTGTCTCGTCCTTCTCTTTGTTGACCTTTCAACATCAGATTCGGAATCACTACTTTCTTGAGAAGATTCTATTTCGTCATCTTCATCACTCGATGTTTCTTCTTGTTCTTGAACTTTTCTTTTACTTGCAGCTATTATTATTGTTAATAGTTTTAAACATAAAAGTTATATCTGTTTACTCTTTTGTTTTTGAAATAAGCCAGGAATGGTGGTAGTTCTTGTTCGCAATGATATTTTAGAAGAACCTGCCTTTATATATATATATATTTGGCTTTAATACAAGTGCAATGTGTTTATATTAAAGACTTACAGCTGCCGGTTTCTTTTGAGATCTAGCCATTGTTGCAATAAAGAAAGAGAATGAGAAAAAAAAAAGGAGAAAAAAAAAAAAAAAAAAACGCGAGTAGGTTGCTTAAAAATGATAAAACGCGTCAGTCCGACTAAAGTAGCTCCAAATAAGATATTATTTTTTCATTTATACAATTCTATGGTTTTTATTAAATATACACACACACGTATTTAGTCTCTATACTTCTTCATAAAGTCGTTGTGGAAGGTTTCCAACTTTGAACAGAATTGATCAAAGAGATGTTCTTCAGGAAGGAAAGTAGAACGGAAATGATAAGTTCCTGGTTCTTGTCCAAAACCAGAACCAGGCACAACACAGACTCCTGTTGCATCCAACATGGCCAAGGAATAGAAAGCGTCGGCCGGCATACCAGCCTTTTCGGCTTCTTTGATGGCCTTTTCAGGAAGTCTAATTCTAGGGAACAGATACATGGCGCCTTCAGCATTATTACAAGTAACACCTTCCAACTTGTTAAAACAAGAAGCAAGCTTGATGGCTCTGCGGCGAAGAGATTCATAAATAGCATTCACTTCTGCCTTATATTGAGGATAAGAGACATCACCCTCTACTGGAGGATTCGTCATGAGGTCTACCATGATTTGGCCATGGATGTTGGGACATAAAGAGACGGAGGATATTTTATAGAGTTGATCCATGATATCAGGGTCGATATTGACACATTCAAAGTAACCTCCTCGACGACCACATTCACCAATCATACCTTTAGAGATGGAGTGGAAAGAGAAGAGTTCTTGCTCTTGATACTCAGGGCCCATTGATTTTAATACCTTTTTGAAACTATGGAAAGGACGACGCTCTGGCTGATAAATGTTGGTTTGATATACTTCATCTGCTAAAAGCACAATTCGTTCCGTATGACAGAAATCGATAATGTCACGCATATTTTCTTCTGATAAACACTGTCCGGTGGGATTACCAGGGTTGATGATAACAAGTGCACGAACATCGACACCTTTGCTTCTAGCTTCATGTAAAGATCTTTCCAAATCCTTACGGTTTAACCCCCAATCTTCTTCTTCCTTGAGGAAGTAAGGAACAGGCTTAGCATCGACCAGAGACAGAGTGGCAGAATAGAGAGGATACTGTGGAATAGGAATCATGATACCCGTCTTGCTATGCTCAGTCAGCATCTGAAGCACCTTTTGGACACCTTCTGAAGCTCCTTGAGTCAAAAAAATGTCATCGGGATTTGCCTTGTATCCATCACGACGTTCAATGAATTTAGCGACATTTTCACGAATAAAGGGAATACCCTTTGAATGAGAGTAAGCACCAATACTGCCAATCTTGTTTAATAAGAGCTCTGCACGTCTAATGGCATCAGCAGGGTAAAGCTTTGAGACCAATTGTCTATTTTCAGGCTTCAATAATTCTGGATTCTCACACAAGGATGCAACCTATTATTATTTAGAACCCTGATTCTTTTTTTCTCCTTACCTGTCTAAAGAAAGTAATGGGCTTTTGATTCAACTGTTGAGGATTTCCAATATTACAAAACACGACTTTATCAAAGTTCAACTTGGATGGATCCGTTTGTAATTGCTATGGTTTGATGTGTCAATAACTCCAACTTAAAAATACAATCCTATTTCTTACCTTACTTAATGCTTCAGCACGAATGGGAACAGCACCACGTACAGCATATTCGACATTCTTGATCAAGGGATGCATTGTGTCAAGAGTCAACACTTTGCCTTTTGTTTAAATGAGTAAAAAAGTATATAATAATAATAACACATTACTTGGTTTTTTGGATGTAGTAGAAGCCAGTCGTATATTGTTTCTGATCAATCGACCATAGACAGTCTTTGAAGCACGGATTGAATTCATTTGAATAATGAAAAAAAGAAAAAGATTGATTCCTTTGTGGTGTAGATTATCATTTTATGGAGAAACTCCGCTGTTGGTATCAGACATGTGTAACATGTGAGTCATGGCTCTCTGTTTTTCTTTTTCTTATCCCAAAGAAATGAAACGTTTATTCTTTTTTTCTCTCTCTCTCTTTCTCTTTATTGAACTTTGTGTACCCTTGTCAGTCGACATGATTTGACAGTCCAAGGTGGTTTGTGTCTAAATCAGCTTTTTACCGAGTTTTACCAACTTATTTTCCCACGGTATTCTTTATCCCAAACTGTTTATTAGACTGGAATACATCTTTAAGAAAAGTTGATACGTTTATGAAAGAGAAGGAGCTCATCACGAAATGCAAGTTCACTGTGAGTACAAAATGATAAGCATAAAAGTGCCTTTTTTTTTTTTTTTGCTTATCTCTTTTTTCTTTTCCCTTGTTGTCTGTAAAGCACCTCTTCAGGGTTCAAACGTGTACACAGTGTGGCTTAAATTTGCCAAATAAATAAAACAAATAAATATAAAAGTGCGGCTAAATGGAAGCTTCCGATCATTTTTTATTGACAATTAATTTATTGATAATTTATTTTAGCTCAAGTTTCTTATGAGCTACTAGCAAACGGCAATCTAGAATCCGCTTGTGCATCAGTGGAGGATTCTGCAACTTCATTCTCTTGTTCGTTTGAAAGCAATCTTGAGAAATCACCGTTACTATGAAGCCGCTGTTGCCTTTGCTCTTGTATTTGCTTTGCATGTTTTATCTCGTCTATTCCATAATGCTCCACCATACTAGAATCAGGTTCATAATAATAGTTGCTATCAACCGTACAGGCAAGTGTCATTTCACTTCCACGTCTATCTTCACTATCATGCGAGGTGCTGTTACTGCTAACACTACCACTACGTGAACCTTGAAAGCCTTCTGGAAAATCCGAACCTGGAGACATTAGCGAAATGGTTAAATCCTTTGTATAATCCATCATCTTGACTACCTTTTTTATAAGCATTTTCTGTGAACCGTTTTCCTGCAGATGAAGAAGAAGGAGAGCCTAAGCACGTTGCTTCATCCGTCATTAAAAAATCGTCTCTTGCGTTGGATATGCTATTAAACCAATCATGCCACTCGAGCAACTCCTTTTCTCGTTCAACTTGGATCAGCAAATCCCAAAGGCCTAACCCATGTACTTTTAAAACATAGGAGCCTTCCTTTGAGGAGACTATGGTTGCTCCGTGATACTTGAAGGCTCTTCCACTACCACTCTTTTTCTACATCATGGATGTTATTGGGTATATTTTTGTAAGAAAAATCACTTACGGAATAAAAGCTAAGATAGGATATGTCTGGCATAAGAATGACCTGTGCCATCTCCCAAGCAGCTAAAAAGGGAAAGTATCTAAATGCATACTGTACTGGGACTTCGACCTATTGAAAACATGTCAGTCAGTTGAAAAAAAAAACCTACCTCGTGCACTTCCATCAAGACTCCTTCCATACGACCCTTCTTGTTCAAACTATTCAATTTCACTTTGGATGGTGTGCTATCACCATAATGCGACATATTGCTAATCATATAATTCAGACTTTTTAAGCCAGAATATTCACTGTCACTTCGCTGTATGCCATGGAACTCGGGTGGAAGGTAAGTGGCATCACCATGGCTATCCTGGCTCGATTGGAGATTATCCATGCCACACACTGAACGCTTTTTCCTACTCAGATCGGATGCTTTACCATGGCTTCTGCTATTGTTTGTTTTGGGTGAAAAGAACGCATGTAGTTTTGGAATAAAGAGTGCCAAAAGGGAAAAGGTAGTTGCCCAAACAATCATGGTTGCTGTTAAATAATGACGCGTGTAAAAGTCAGTGGTGGGTACGAAAAAGACGATAAACCCAATGATGACGGAGAAAAAGATGTTGCTAACATCATAACATTATAAGTTAAAAGAAAAAGATAAACTATGCAACTTACTATACGGAGACGGCTATTTGCTTGTATTCGCTGTATTTTGAGTACGATCTTCCTACTGATCGGGTCTTGAAGGCAAGAAACGTAGCAAAACAAAGCTGTAAGGACTCTGATAAAGTCAATAGTGCGACAAAAATAGTGACATTGCTTCCATCATAGGCACAATCAACATAATAGGCATTTCTTGACACAGGCTTATTCACTGTTGATACGGTCGTTGAGGAGAACCACGCAGTTAAGATAATCTATTGTCAAAAAAGCCGATGAACTTTCTGATATTCTACAATAAAAAGCATAACTTACAGCAGTAATTGTTACTATCGCACCAGAGACTTTTAGTAGCTGTCCATCCGTTACTACTGTCCTTGTAATGAATATATTATTGAATATCCTATATATACGATAGTTTTTTGCGATAAGATTTCTATATTTGGGAAGCATTAGACACAATAACTCATAAGCTACAATATTACCCTAAAATAAGTGAATAGCCTAAGTGAAATGTGATGGGTATCATTGTACAGTTAAATGGACTTCGATAACCCAAAAAGAAAGCAACTGATACATATGTCAACAGAAACCCCACAAGTTCAAGAACACAAAATAATGGACTATTTGGATGGTGAATATACAAGTATGCTCCTATAGCTTTCTTACCTAGAGGCCTTAAATACTTCTCGTTTCCGATAAAAGATAACAATAATCATACTAAATAATACAATCACAGTTCCAAAGGCAGATATTGAAAGCAAAGCTATCGACACTGGAGATTTGTAACCAGGATTCAAATAGGATCTGTCAGGTACACCAGTTGGGACCTATACTGATACACAAATTGTGATTGTAAGAATTTAGAATGTGGGGGGCACACAATAGGTGTGAATTACCTTTGTCGTGCCATCGTGAAAAATAGGAGGTGATGTAAGGTTCAAATTTCCAGCAATCATTCTTCCAATCTCTCGCTGCGCTCCGTTTTGGATATTATAAACTCTAAAGCTTCTATAGATGAAGTTAGTTAATGTACACACACATATAGAGGAAAGGCTTTAACGTACCCTGTGGCCATATCACCATTTTGATCCAAAATTACAGGCCCTACAGGCCCTAAAAAGGAAGTGTTGAATGTCGAAGGAGAAAGGTAATCACCTAGCTGACCAGCAGCTAGTTGTTCCAACATGCGTGTTGTATTCGTTGATAGGCCAGTTGAATTGGATACAGTGCGGTTAAATCCGTCTGCCATGACCATCATACATGAGTATGCCATGCCTTCATTACTGCTGACATTGGTTTGCCCTCCATAAGGATAGCTTTGGAAAAAGATTAGTACAAAGTCATAAGACTGTCAACAGTACTTTACATGAAAGGATCAAGCTGAGACCATTTGCCTAAAAAATCGTCAAAGGGCTCATACCCGGGTAACTCATTTAGAGTCTCAAAGCTGAAAACTCCTCCTGAGAATGTTTTATTATAGTTGATCGTAGTCAAGTTGGCTGCCATTCGTGCTGCGTATTCGATAGGACCCGAACTGTTTTGCTTTTTTGTGATGGCCAAATCCTGGTTTGTTCCCTCTAAGGTTGGTACAATGTCTGTATGGTTCACGCGCTTTTCGATAATAGAGTTGAAACTCAATACAGCCTTATATAAATCGTCGACATCCATATCAGTCGTAAGCCATACTGTCTCGTTATTGATATATCCTGCATGGGCTGCCAAGGTCATGGCTGCCAGCTGTGCTTCACCTTCTGCAGCGACAAATATAATACGCACTCCAGTGGATACAAGTGAATCCAGGGACTTTTTAATGTCGCTCTTGATTCCGTCCTCATAAAATGACTGATAGGATTTGACGTGTATACCACTGACACGCGCCTTCATTACAAGACTTTCAGATACTATGTATATATATAGGTTAGTCATAGATTTCTTTTTCGATGTTGTCGTTACATTGCTGTCCAAAATCATCATCCGAGTACAAGACGCCAAGAACTGGCCAGCCCTGGCTTATGATAAAGGATACAGCGGCATCCGAGTATAACAAATTGGTGGGAACAGTTCTGAAGAAATAACCAAACTGTGTTTTGTCAGAGAGTGATGCTAATGAAATCATAAGTTACTATTGATAACATCACATATGTGTTTCTTTTTACTAGCTACTGCGGAAAATGAACATTGAGGGATCTGCAAGGTGCTCGTCATCAATGCGGAAAAAGAGGTCCAAGAAGAGGAGATATCTCCGATAATGCCGACGACTCCTTCTTGGATCAAAGAAATAGCAGAGTATACAGCTTGTGTGATAGCCGCTTGCCCTTCTACAGGCTTTGGGTATGAATCTTTTTCGACAAGAGTGATGTAGGCTCCAGGTATGAGCTGTTTGGTATTGATTTCTGCTACTGCTAATCGAATGGCCGATATACCGCTTTTATAAAATACGTCAGAATTGGTTTTATGCATCTATTTGTGGATTATACCTCATTGTCATCATCTTTGTCCAACCGTCATTGCTTTGATGGAAAGGTAGCAGTACGCCTACTTTTATCTCAATTAAGGAAGACTCGTTTGATAGTCCCGGGCTAATAAAAGTGGATCCTCTTCTTCTTGTGACGGAAAATGTGTAATTATTAAATTCATCATGACAATAGTAGGTATTGGTATCATTATCATCGGCGTCATCAATAGTCTGATTATAGTAAGTTATAGTTGAATGCTTTAAGGGCAGTTTCTTCTGGCTGATATCCAGAGTACTGTTCATGAAGAACTATTAAAAAAAGGATAGGAAGGAGAGAGAGAGAGAGAAAGAAATAAACATTGAATGAAGAAAACAAAAAAGATGTTCAATGTTAATTAGACTAACAAACTAAACACGTTATAGCATACTTTTTGTTATTGCTAAAGGGGTGAACACAAAAGAGGGGCAAGGTTGAGAACAGACGTGATAAATATTACATATCAATCAGAAGACGTGATAAACATAAACAAAAATTTAAAGGAGAGAGAACGACTTATGATTTAGGAGAATTGGATGAATCAAGAAAAAAAAGGGGGGCAAAGTAGAAAATACATGTAGTAGGAGAGCTATCGAAAGGGGGCATTATCATCCCCACAAGGTAGTACATAAACCTTACAAGAACAATAAATTAATGTTTATTGTCTAAGAACGAACATTTATGCATGTCAAAATAATTGATGCTCACCTCCGCGGTTTTTTTTTATCCTTGACATAAAAAATAATGATGAATCAGAACTGATTTAGTCATTTTACTGCATGTTATCTTGATAAACTTTCTAAAAAAGGGGGAGGGGAATATCATTTCTATTTGCTCATAAATAATGATTTTTATTTGCTCTTTTGAGAAATTTGTGTTTCCAAAAAATGACGACGATCCTCTTTACGTTGAGCTAAAGCAACATAGATTGATTTTGAACAAATGGATTGTCCATTCATCTCGGTTACCGCTTTACTGGCTTCTTCGGATGAGCTGAAGCAAACAAATCCAAACCCTTTTGATACACCTGTCTTTTCTTCTCTCATTATTTTAGCACTTGTAATAGTTCCAAACGTTGAAAACCTCTCGACCAGCATCTCATCCGTCACATTATCTGCCAAGTTTTTTATATACAGATTGACGCCTGTGTGTCTGGACGTGCTGCTGTGTCTTTTCAGTTCGTCTTCTCTTTCTGATCTCTTTTGTGCTCGAGTGACAAATAACTTTTTTCCAAAGAACTCGGTGTCATGTAGCTCATTCACTGCTCTCTCTGCGTCATCAGGTAGTTCAAAGTTAACAAAACCAAAGCCTTTTGACTTTTGCTGGTCATCTCGCTGAATTAATATGGATGATACAGAACCCATTGTGCTGAAAAGTTGATTCAGGTCTTGCTCTGTCACGTCTATTGATAAATTTTTGACATAAACATTGGTGAATCGATTATCATTCTGTGTTGATGTAGGTTCTCTTTCATGTTTTGGTATTTGATGTGCTGCATGTCTATGAACAAGTCATCAGATCTTGTGTGTATATATAATTCTTGTTTTTTTGTTACACTTCTATGCCAAATAGCATTTTTCCATTGACAAGCGCAATTGCCCTCTCCGCAGCTGCATATGTGTCATAATTTACATATCCGTAGCCTTTGACGGTTCCACCTGTCAGCTTATTGATGACTCGACAAGAAGTGACATTTCCCCACCTTGAGAAGGTGTCATAGAGTGATTTATTATCCACACCTGGGTGTAAGTTTTTTATAATGATGTTTCCTGTTCCTGATACTCTCTTTGTTATATCTCTATCTGATATCATCAATCGATAGTCTATGCCGTCAATTTTTGAATTATTTAAATTTTCAAAGGCTGCACTGCCTATGCTATGCTATGAATACATATAAAAATATGAAAAGTAGACACTTACAGTCTTTGGGGGTATAAAAATCGATACGAGCATATCCTAGGTTTTCATTACTAACAGAATCGCGATAGATCTGCACATGTTTAATATTGTCAAAGTGAGCTTTTAGTTTTTCTTCGTCAATGTCTGGAGCTAATTCACCAATATAGAGTGAAGTTTGAGTTGTAATTCTAGGTTTATATCTTTCATTCACTGTTTTCGCTTGCATTTCAGCAATTTCTTTTTGCTGTTCTATAGTTAAGCCCTTTGGACCGAGTGAGGTATCTGTCATTGTCATGATAATAATAAAAGAAAAACCTCAGGTACTCGATTGAACACGACAAAAAAAAAAGGAGGAATGTCACATGACTGTGACTGACATTGAGCGATCCACTAGCATTTTTGAGCGCTGGGTAAAAAGACCTCTCTTTACCTGATAATCATTTACCCTGCGATCTATAACAATTGAAAGTACAAAATTATACGGTTAAACAGTCTCTTATTTACAATTAAAGCCTCAAGTGGGCGCACGATAATAATATATCTTCTTCGCCCGAGGCAGATCAAAAAAGAATGAAGAATTAGTATCTAAAAAATCCTTATGAGATCAAGGGTAAAAAAAAGTTATGGAAGAAATGATGTTGGACCAAGTGTAAGATACACTAGTGAGGGGAAGGAAGAAGCCAATCGAGGGGCTTTTGCCCGAGGTGAGGGGGCGGAGAAGGCGGACGCTTTTGGTGATGGAGGTAGTCAAGTTCATGAAGAAGAGTGCAGATAGCTGGCCAACGAATGGTCCATGGGAGAGCGGCTTGAAAAGAGCGTAGTTTCTTTGAAGGTAGCATGTTCAAAAGGAAGGATAATAGATCTGAAATTGTTCCGGACATCATAAGTCGACGGTGCATCTGGAGACAACGAATGGCGTGGGCTTTGGTGAAGGATTGGTTGGGGTGCCGAGGACAGGTTTTGTCATGAGCACTAGGAAGCCAACCAAGACGCCAACGTATGCATCGACTTCTCTCAGACCTGGTCATAGGTAGCCAAAGGATAGGGTCTAGGGAGTTAATCGGGCGACAGTACGTAAGAAGAACAGAGGCGTGCGTTGTGCGCTTGTGATTGAGGCTATCTTGGCGGAACTTCCTTTGTATCGATCGTAATGATCGACAATCAAGGGATTCTGGGTTTGGTGCGCATAGTTTCCAAATGGGAAACCTAGAGAATTTGTACCAATGGGAGTAGATGGGAAAGTAGTGCATCATCTGGAAGGGTGTAGGTGCGTAGAAGAAATTGGGACTTGTCGTATTTGACCATGTCTAATACTAATCTTTATGTGTGAGATTACATTTGACTTAATTACATGTATCTTAGTTAGTACTCCGACCTTTTTTTAAAACAATCTAATTTCTTTTTTGCTGAGCTTCTCCTCTCACTTCGAATAAAAGGATAAAGCAGAAACTCATCACATCTTTGCTTTTATTCTACCATTACCGAGTACTAACAACAACAACAGTCAATACCTCAGGACCGAAGGGAGTAAGCGCGTTCCTGCATGGTTAGTAGGTTTGCCAGATGTAGTATCACTGTTGTGGAGGAATTGCGCGAACCACCGAAGATTCGGCGTATGCAAGCGTTCTGAGCGTCGTCCAATTGTTTGCTAAGGAAGGGCGTAACCTTGGTAATGGCTAGCCCGTATCATAATTGGGCACGAACGATTTGGGAATAGAAACGAGTGGCTAAAAGAGGGATAAAACCTTTGGGATGGATGCCAATAGCTGAGAGTTGGTTCATAGTTGTAAGGGCTTTAATCTTGTTGTTGGCAATCAGTTCAATGGCGTCGAGATGGCCACCCGAACGAAAAGTGATTCTGAGATAGAGAAAGGATGTTTGTTTTGAGATTGGTTCGCCATAGAGGGTATAACTTGAAGACAGTTGTGTTGGATCTAATATAACATATTTAGTTGGGTTCTATCTGTATCTAAGTTGGTAACTGTGGTCTTCGCAAGACTTGAGGAGAATGGGCATCTCAGCCTTAGCAGTTATGAGAACAACATCATCAGCATAGAGGAGACAGTTCATGCGAAGGGCGAGTTCGGTAGGGGAAGTATCTGTGGTTAGTGGTTGTGGGCGCAGAAGGCGAGGTAACTCGTTAATGTATATAGAATACAAAAACAGAGAGAGAGTTGATCCCTGGAGGACATCAATGACTGGCGAGAAACGAGTAGACGTTGCGTTATTGAGTAGGACTTCTATCTGGACATCATCAAATAGATTCTGAAGCAAGCTAACCAATGCAGCAGGTGCTGTTTGCTCTAGATTTTTCCAAATACAACGACGATCCACAGTATCATATGCCGATTTTACGTCTAAAATGGCCAATACTGGGGTTAGATGAAAGCGGCGTAGGATGTTGCATATTTCGGCTAGACAGAGAGCTTGGCCTAAGGATCCTCTAGACTCACAGAAGCCACCTTGAGCTATGTCCAGGGGAGGGCTATTAGCTACCAAAAAGCTGTATATACAGCGCTCTAATGTTTTTCTGAAGGCGGATGTTAGACTAATTGGTCGATAGTTGCCTGGCTCTGCTGGGTCGCCTTTTTTATAAATCGGTACAACTTGCGCTATTCGCCAGTCTGCAGGTGTATAGGACCAGGCCCAGCATAATTGGAACAAAAATAGCAAGATATCTGCGAGATTAACCTGTACATAACGTTACATCACCCTCAGTATACCAATGTTGACGCCCATATCCTTTGCTACTCTTTGGCTGAATGAGTACCATTGCAGTTCAACTGCATTTCTAAGGTTGGGACTATATGTATGTGAGCTGAAGTATCATCTCAGATATCTCCATGCTCAATTACAGAAATTTATCATTAAGCCCCTCTTCCAACTGTTTGACGCTGCCGTAAGCATGAGCCTCTTGATTGCTTCAGTTTTTGCTGTCTGACTAGCCGTGAAAGGATAGACTACAAGTTACGGATGACTTCCGTAATGTGAAGGAACTTAGCTTCGCTTCCTATTGATTCTTAGAATTGCCGACGCTCTTCATATAAACTGTTTGCTGCTTGACACTATAGGGAATTTTGGCAGGAAGTTTTAATAGAAACCTTTAATCAATCGTTAGAAATCTTTAAATTTTTCTACCCGTTTCTACGATTTCAGGAAAAGTATAGAAATCTCTAGATTACCATCTAATGATTTCTACCGATTGACTAAAGATTTATACACGCCAAAAAAACAAGGTTCAGCATTTCTTCCTATTCCTTGGCTACTGTTATTAATCATACGTATTATATAAAATAGCTTAAATACAATAAAGACTTTTTTAATACTATGAACTTTATTAATTATAGCTTCATAAATAAAAGCATATAAAATAATATTAGCTTAATCTGCCTTAGTTGTCATCTTTCTTTTGGTAATTTGCTCACCCACATCGAAACTATAGTTCGCTTCTCTGCATATTAATAAATCTATTTACAATATACCTCAATGACAGTGCTTCTATGTCTTTTTTCCTTTCTTTGCCTTGTCTACCTTTTCATAGTGACCAGCAATCTGGAAAACCATAGCAGCCGCATCAATGGAATCAATATCACTAAAATATTTTTATCTTGATTTTAGCTTATGAGCTTACCTTTCTCCACTGCTGTCACTTTCCTTGACAGGAGGAGATGGAGGACTCGAGTCTTGATCTTCGGAAGCACCAGCATCAGTTACTTCTACATCTTTTTGAGCGTGTAATTTAGGTTTGTTTGTTTTTTCTCTTTGCTAATTAATCATTATAGTTATCTTGTACACTGCTTGATGTGGTAAAAGGCTCCTTTTTGTCAAGAAGCTAGTAGTAACGGAGCATCAATCTAGCTCCCCGCAAACCAACATAAGCACGCAAAGGGACAAAAGGAGCCGTTGTCTTTTCAAGAAGTTCGGCAGCTCTAAGATTTCCTCGTAGATTTACTGTTTTCAATGGCTTACCAGCCTCGACCTTGAGCTAGTCTTTGACTTGACGAATAGTAGCCGGTAGCCCAAACAGAGTAAGATAACCACGAGCAGTATTGAATGCATTGTCGCCAACTGGGCTGCCATGTACGTCTTCCATAAGTTTCCTATAAAGATGCTATGATAATTGGTGTTTCCTACTTGAATTCTCGCTAAATGAGTGCGCAATGATAGGCTTAGGAAACAAATTATTTGCAAGCAAGCCACGGACCAATTCCTCTTGCTCTGTATATCTTCGCCAGTTTGCTTCAATTATACGAGAGCATGTGCCCTCAAGTTGCGATTTCAACTGGGGATTTTTTTGCCTCAGCCCCTCGAGCTGTGTTTCGAATTCTTCTTTCGAGATCCTCATCCTCCTCATTTCTTTCTCGTGACTCAGCTATAAATGAACATATGAAGCTCCTATAGCACCCTTAATCTCATTCTGTGCTGAAATTACTATAAGAGTAAGTCTATTGAGCATAATTCAATTCGCGACATTTAAGCCAATGACATCCAGCGGTTAAATATGAGACACTTTATCTTTTTCCTAATCCCGTCCGGGGCGGTTTTTGTGTTGTAGCTGTTTAATGAATAAACAAAATCCCTTATTTAAACAAAACGAGACACTTCGCTTTTTTTTTTGAGACGAGATGAAAAATAAATGACACCCCCTTTTTTGTGAAATGTGCGGCTTTTTGATGAGTTAACAGCAGCTTTATTTAATTGTTAGTTGGTTGATAATAATGTAATATAATATATCAAGCTTTTTCTAATTTCTCTGTATGCTTTTAATCGGTGAACCTACAAAGAAGGAAAGAGTAGAAAAGCTAGGGTATATTCATATGAAAAAATGGAGGCAATGCAGACTAGTGTAACTGTTGTTTAGTAAAGTTACGCTCAAATTGTATATCCGTAGTTTGATATGTCCATTATACGTGCATAATCCCATACAAGGCAGCATGTTATACATTGTCCAAATTGATCACATACCTTGATTTGCTTATTGAACTTGTTGCATTCCACTGGGACAGCAGTAGATAACAGTATTTAAACCTTTGCAACAAACTCAAAATGAAAAGTATCGTTATTTTTTTATATATTCATCATGTCTAGTCCCACGCTTCAATTGAATGCTAAAAACAATATTAATATCTCTATTTACAACACTAATAATACTCATAAACGCGAAAGTAAGTTTTATAAATAAAAAAAAGGTTATGCTGTTTTTAAAACTTACCACGTGTCCTAGTCTCTACTGACTCTGATTCATCCCTTTCAGATCCTAATATTAATAGAAGAAAAAAATCAAACTATTTCGTAGGAAATGGGCAAAAAGAGTGGGAACCCAGGAGTCGCGTAAGTACATATTTAGTTTACTAGTAAATAAATTGTATATTAATAGTCAATATTCATATTATAGTACATCATTGACGGTGTAGATATAACGAGAAGACTAGATTCGTTTAGAAAGAGAAGTATCTGGGTGGCAGAGAACTTGAACCACTTAAACCCGATAAGAGTGTTGTGAGTTGAAATAGTTTTATTAGAAGCTAACTTGACTGAACTAAACACCACGTAGGAGCTTGTCGTTTGTGTTTCCTATCAACAAATGGAACAAGGCTCGGTGTGTCTCGAGTTATTTGAAGGAAGAAGCTGGAAATGCCTTGCTTAAGCAGGCTTACCAAGGCATCCAAATGCCAAAGGTGTCTGATGAAGCAGTGCTTTTCTGTAAGAGGTTGATCGACGTAAGTTAAAAATTCTAAATCCATATCTATGACATTATATCAATAACTTATAAATAGGCTGAAGGTGGTGAAGTCCCCAACATGGAAGCTTCCAGTGATATGGAAAGATTTGTAATGAAGATTGCAAAGAGTTTTGCAAATAACTCTGCAAAAGCCAAGAACAATTCGGAGGCAACTTTTTTAATAAAGTACTTGTGGCCCATCATAAAAATAATGTTTATAGAAGATGCAAAGAAGAATGTAGTCTATTCACTGTAACTATTAGTATAAGAATAACAATAATTGTCTTATTGATTTTTTATAGTATAGATGGATATGAAAAGGACGAAAATGAAAAACCGGATTTTATGCTTGGTATTGGCAGCAGAAAGAGAGAGCTCTACTACTTCTATGTAGAGCTCAAACGTCCTGAATGCCAGAGCAAATATCAAAAGGAAGACGACTATTGTAAATTGTTGAAGCAGATGAAAGCATCTGTTGATAAGCAGGTGAAGTTGAAGCTGGCCAACCCATCTTCATTTGGACTGCTTTGTGAGGGTAAATTAAATTGAAACACATAATAGTATGAATGCATTAATATACTTACTGACATCCTTCATAATAGGCTTCAACAGCTCTCTGTACAAAATGACCTTGGTAAATGACGGAATATATTTACCAGTAATGGTGAAGCGTTTTTCGCTGGTCGAAAATGAGTCCCAGCTACTCAATGTACCAGTAATTGTCGAAACTCTTGGGCTTGTCAGGGTAAGTGTGCTTTTGTTAATACACTATGATATATTGATTATGTTAATGCTTTGATTTGTGTAGGACGAGTTTCAGAGATTACAGAGCAAGTACAATGGAAAGAGGAAGGAGGAAACAGAAGAAAGCCAGTATGTGAAGCCGTCGTACAAAACCGAATTCAAAAAATAAAATACAATCTCTAACCTTTCTAGACTATTTCAGACAGCGGTTACACCAACCTGTATGTGCGTGTTTTTTTTTTTTTTTTTTTTTTTTTTTTTTTCGCTTACAGTCAGACCTCGATTCTGCCATAAAGGTATTGTTATAGGCACGCAAATTGGTCAATAGACCAGAGGATAAGACCAACAAAGGAAGGGTCTTGATGCTGTGATCTTCTTTTTATTTAAAATAGTGATAAAAGAAATACAATGACAATGATTGTTGTTTGATCTTAATGAGTGAAATCTTGATAAGGAGTGGGTGGATGAGTGATATCCTTCCTTGTTGGCTTATCCTCTGATTCATTGACCAAAAGACATATCAACTAAAACGCCCTTTATTATGGTTTACAAATTTTAAATTGGCCCTCAGTCAGTAAATTCCATAGCAACGTCACTATTTTGCCCTCTTTTTGTATTCCTTTTTTCCTTTTTTACTTTTTTACTTTTCTCTTTAACATATTTTTTTGCTTCTGCGCAACAACAGTTTATCTGATGGATCCTGCCATTATAACCAGCCGTTTAGTTCATCTACACTGATATGCTACGTCACTCTTTGAGAAAGCCATGGTACTTCACCTTGATTCTTTGAATAATGCATTTGCATTATGAATGCATAGTAGCAAGGGCTCCCTTTTCTTTCGTCACGGTTAGAAATAAAGTTGGCACCCTTTGTGGTGGAAGAAGGCTGCGGGGGGTTTTGCCCTTAGGAGGAATTGCAT